AAATCCATCTGCATTGCATTTCTAAATAAGAGTGTTACTCTGACTAATTCCCATGAATTACGAAAGCACCTACCATAAGCATAAACAATCAGAAAGGTGAAATTGGCAATTTCAAATTGTTTATACCACATCAAGGCCACTTGAAATCTCGACAAATTTGTGCAAAACTAATTTATAAACAAATCGTTAGAAAGGGGGGAAATAATATGAAGGAAACTAACCAAGAAATTATGGTAAATGAAAGCTCTAGGCTCCCAAGAAAGGACTTCAGTCCACTGCTCCCCTCTTTTTCCCAAGCCTTTCCCCCTGCATCAAAATCCAGTTCATATAATGAGTCAAATCAACAAGAACACTAATTAAAAAATGGCTATTAATCAAAAGAGATCAATGCGTGAGAAATCAAACAACCGCGAATGTGTCAAACCTTTCAGAAGCCATGCGTCTATAAGAAGTGAGATCATTGGGCGAGGAATCGTCGTTGCTTATCGGGAGAGAAAAGATCCCTAGTCCCAAAAGCATCAATAAAACGACCGTTAACATAAACAACATCGACAACACGAGCGTTACTGTGGACCATTTCTTCGCTTGTAATCGAGAATGTCTCACTTTCGCCATTCTTGAATCAAAACAAAACGCATTCGACTCAAAACCCTAGAGATTGATCCAATAAAACCAAACCCCAAATCCCAATTTGACTAGGACTCGGATTCAAAAACGTTGACGAAAATTTCCTATAAAATGGAAAACCAACAAGGACAAAACTAAAGCCTAAATGGCGCGACATTTATATAGAGCATTTAAAGATGTCGAGTTATTGCAAAGGGTTGAGACGAAATGACAAAACTGGTCCTTGTTATGGAACCTATTGGCCAATGATAGTGCTTAGAGAATTGTTGAGAGTGGGTATAGTTGTCATTAAAAGTTTGCTCTTGGTTTTACTAGTCGGCGGGTTTGATGGGTTCTGACTTCTGAGCAGCTCCTGGTTTGGCTCGGTGTTTGAACTTTGAAATGCCAAATCTTTCCTTTGATTTTTACAGTATCTGTTCAACAGCAATGGAAGCAGCTAGGGGTGTTCAAATAATCGAAAATTCGGTTAACCGATCGAATCGAATTAGTTCGATTAATTCGGTTCGGTTATCGAATTAGATCGATCGGTTAACGGTTAAGAAAATTTTTAAAATTCAATTAACGGTTAATTCGGTTGGAATTCGGTTAATTAACCGAATTAATCTAAATTAAATTTTAAATATTAAATATATTATATATAACATATGGCTCCGCCCAAACCATTTAAAATTTAATTAATAATTTAAGATCTAATAACTTTTAAACCTAAATCAATATTAATTAATTAAAAAAATTATATAAATTTTTATTTTATAATTATATATTATTTAAATTAATTGTAAACTGTTTTTTTAAATTAAAAATATTAAATATATTATATATAACATATAGGTTAAGCCCAAACCATTTAAAATCCAATTAATAATTTAAGATCCAATAACTTTTAAACCTAAATCAATATTAATTAATTAAAAAATTTATCTGAAATTTTTATTTTATAATTATATATTATTTAAACTAATTATAAACTTTTTTTAATTAAAAACATTTAATTTTTATATAAATTATAAATTTTTTAAAAAATTTCGATTAATTCAAAAATTAACCGAAATTTATTCGATTCGATTAATATGTTTGAAAAAAAATCGATTCAGTTAACTATTAAAAAAATAGTTAATTCAGTTATAATTAATTCGATCAAATCGGTTCACTCAAAACGCAGTTTTCGTATATGTATATCCAAATCTCAACTGAATCAAACATAAATCTTTGTCGTGGCTAATCTGTCTTGTCTCCTTAGGTCTCTTCCCAAAATTCTGCCCGACTATCAAATCAATGTTTCTCTTATTCCCAAATTCGTACGCACAAATTACAATTGAACAGAAGAAAACGCTTTATAAAACAATTCGCGGTAAGATATTATTAACCGTGGTAACTTTGGTATGAAAGTTATGTATGACTTAAATGCTCATAACTTTTCTCTAAATCTAACTGCTATTGGAGCTCCATCTGCAAATAGATAAGACTTTGATTTATTGTATACGAGTTTTTTAAAATAAAGGAGTGATAACCAATTTCTTGTTCTATCAAGAGTATTGGTATTGTTCTTTTATTTAGAATTTAGAATTTAGAATTTATTTATTTTTCTTTACTTTCACGTTAAGTTTACTTTTTTTATTTTACCTTTTTTTTATTACCATAAGAAATAAAAACTATCAATCTTTTGTAAAGTTTTTATTTGAAGTAAAAATAAAATATAGAGATTGGAATTTTCTATAAATTGTATATCTTAGAAATAAGATAAAAAAAAGAATGATGAATGATAGAAACTAAAATCTTTGAAATTTATATTTCAAGTATTTAAATAAATCAAAATAAAATACTATAGCAGAAAGAGTATACTAGAGGGGCAGATGTATCCAAGTGAATCAAGGCAATGGATTATGAATCCACCGTGTATTGGTTCAATTTTTGTTGTTTGCCCATTTTTTTAATATTTTTTAATTTTTGAATTTAAATATTTTATTATTATTATTTAATATATATATATATATATTGTAAAGATAAAGAAAGAATTTTTTTCTCCTATTTACTACGGAGACGAATAATCAAATTATCACTATATTTATTCTTTTTTCTAGTCATTCTTCCGAGTGCAGGACAACCCCAAGAGGTTGTGGGTTATATCACTATATTTATTCTTTTTTCTAGTCATTCTTCCGAGTGCAGGACAACCCCAAGAGGTTGTGGGTTATCTCAATAAAGTCTATGATTGGTTCAAAGAACCCCTCGAGATTCAGATGATTGCAGATGATATAACTAGTAAATATGTTCCTCCTCATGTTAACATATTTTATTAACTAGGAGGAATTATGCTTACTTGTTTTTTTGGTATAAGTAGTTACATGATTTCCTATGATTTTTTACTATCGTCCAATCGTCACCGATGATTTTACATGTATTTCATGTATCACTGGTGGTTTTAAAAACTCTCACGAATTAACTTGGGTTACCTGTGTGGTTTTGGATGTGTTGACTGCATCTTTTGGCGTAACAGGTTATTCCTTACTTCGGGACTAAATTGGTTATTGGGCAACGTAACAGGCCTTCCAGAAACTATTCCGGTAATAAGGTCGTATTTGGTAGAGTTATTGCGTGGAAGTGCTAGTGTGGGACAATCCACTTTGACCCATTCGACGCAGCGATTCTCACCAAGTGCTGGTGAGTTGCTGCCGAGTCAACAGCCCTTCTTTCTCGTCGTTAACGGTTTTATCCGTCTTCACCATTCGTGTCTATCGAGAAGCTCCTCAACAACTTCCGCACCGTCGTGCAATAAACGTTTCTGAAGAAGAAGCCGTTTTCATATAATAGCTTTAAACGGATCGTAAAACATTGACATTTTCGCAGGTAAGCAATCATTATCGAATTTCTGTGCCAGCCTCAAACATTATCATCCAGGCTGCTTCAAACAAACGCAGAGGAGCTGAAGAGAAGAAGCAAAGGGTTGAAAATCGGGTCGGTTTCGCATTTCAGGCCCAAAGGGGTGGCTCAATTATTTTCGTAAGACCCGAAATAGCCGATCACCTACTGAGATGGTGACCCAATTTATTTTTATAAAATAATTTATTTTAATCAGTTTTTTATGTATCTTTATATTAGGCCTAAAATGTAGATTTAAATTTTAATTTATATATCTTAATTCGATTAATTTTAATCTAAACTTAAATAATACATTAATAATATGAATAAAGTTTAATAACTTAAAATGATTAAATTAAAAAATATAAATTAAATATATAATTTCATAAAATATAAAGACCTTTGTTTGTAATATAAAATAAAAACAGTACATTTTGTAGATTTAGTAAAGACTTTATTTTTAAAATTTTGAAGTTTTTAAAATGTTATGATTTTATTGAAAATAATTATAAAAAATAACGACATTAATAATAAATAGTATAAAAAATACAATAAAGATGCAATTACATTTTAACAGATATACAAATAATTTTAATAGTATAAAATATATTTGTTAGAATTAATTGAAAAGAGTGTTTCTGAAATTTATTTATTTTTATTTTACATGAGACTAAAAGCATTAAAGAACTAAAATAAGAGGGATCTTAAAAAACTTAATTTATATAAGAGATTTAAGCTATAAAATTCCTTTTGAAATTTAATATTTTCTCCCCAGACAATAAATTTTATTTTTCTTTTCAATTTTTAAAAAATAATGAAAAATAAAATTTATCCTCGAAACTCTTCATACAATGAAAATCGATTGCTTTGGATAATGAATGTACTCTCATACTTTTTCTTCGTTACAAATAATAAAGGTACGGTTTTCTTCTTTAAAAAAAGGCTTCTTTCATGGTGTTCTCAGGTAAATATCATAGATAATTGTAGATTCAGTTTTCATCGGCAAAGACAGAGTAAGTTGTTTGACAAAAACATCCGACTTTGACCCGAAGTACATGTTTGACCTCCATTTCTTTATTACTCCTGTTTATTAGGTTTTGAACTAATCCTGAAATTCTGTCCAAAGAGAAGAAAAAATAAACAAATCTTGAAAGACTGGAAATTTTCAATGTGGAGAATTTCAAACACAAAATCCAAAAACCTAATTTATTGACTTCCCCCCAAAACTTGATTAGTTACGACTAATTCCATAGTAGCAATCATGATTAACTTATCTTATATCCCTAAACATAATACTTTAGTATTATAAAAATGATTACGGGGAGTTGTTATCAACATTAATAGATTTATTAAAATATATACATGCATTTTGTGTGATTAAGAAGACACATTCCCCAGCAAGCTGTCTCTTGTATGATTTGGTCAACCCTAAAACCTCAAAGATCTCTCACTTGTCTTCGTTACGTATAAAAGGAGTGCTGAAAAAACAAGGGTTCCCCAAATCCATTGAACTGCGTAAGTGTTTGACAGAATGAAGAAAGAGGGTAAACCCAGAAACATGATATTGAAATTTCTGCCAAAAGTCAGTGTCGGGTTTCAGAACCCTCCGTTCAGCCCAAGCAGAGACAAGAGAGCAATTAGCGCATGCAAAGGGTTGTTTCCTTGTCCGATCGTTTCGATAATTCCCGACGAAGCTCGAAGAAAATCAGAGGCTGGAACGTTCGAAACTCAAGAACCAACTTCACCCAGGGTGTCATGCATAGGCCAGATCAAGCACAAGAAAAACATCAGAAAAGGTAAGCGTGATTTGAAGGCCGTCTGTGAGTCGACACATAAATATTCTTCTCCTAGAGAAGTAAATAAAGAATTGGGTGATGAGGACAGTGCGCCACCTTTGGGTCAATTGAAGCGGTTTGCGAGTGGGCGTGATGGTCTTGCTAGTTTTGGTTGGACGGCTCAGATTAATGCAGTACACGTGGAAGCAGATCAGCACAGAGATGATTACTCTGACGAAGAGGGAAGAGCGTTTAGTGACCTTGAATATGAAGAAGACGAAGAAGAAGAAGAAGAAGAAGAAGGGATGGTTCGTTTCTCAGGTGCAACGGCGGTGGGTGCAGGAGGGTTGGGTTTGCAGCCAAGGAAAGAAATAAACATATGGAAAAGAAGAGCAACCAATCCACCGAAGCCTCTTCAGTTGAAATCCTTTTGCGCTAATTGATATTACTGATCGTTTCCCTTTGATAATGGTATATTTGGTAAAGACATGAAAACCAACTAAAATAAAATATTTTTTAATTCAAATATATTTTAAGTTTTTTTATACATTTGGGTAAATACAAGTCAATATATGTTCAAATACTCTCAATTATTTTACAATAAATATTATTATTTATAACATTTACAGTGCTCGAACCCGAAACTTCAAGAGATAACAATGAATCATTTAACCATACAAAAAATTAAGTTATTATTTTCTCTGTCCGATTAAATTTTAATTATTTTACGTTTATTTTAAGATTTTTGTTTTTTTTAAATAATTTTCAACAAAAAATAAGTTTTTATTACATATAAAGAAAAGGTACAATAAAAACAATAAAAATCTAAACATGAAAATCCAGAGGGCATGAGGAAAAATAAAATTAAAATATTCTCTTAAATACATACTTCATCTTTTAAAGTAAACATACCAATTATCAATAATCTTAATGTCTCTATTTGAAACTATATGCAATATTGATGTAGACGTAAAAATTAAGAGAACCAATTTAATATATTGCTCCGCGAATGATTCTAAATGCATCGACAAGTTACCGTAAAAAAGATCTAATTATACGATATAGTCAGGGGTAGACACGAGATTTTATATTAAGAGTGAACTTTAGCTTTTTTAAATTTTCAGGGGACGAACTTGAATTTATAAAATCTCAGATGGTGAAAACAAATTTTTAATAAAAAATACATAAAAAAATATAAAATATATAGTATTTTTAAATTTTCAGGGGCAACTGCCTCCACCCTCCCCTCAGTCAATCCATGGATATAGTCGATATTTTCCGATCAGGAGGTTACTCTGATTAATACGGCACGAAACGTCAAACTATGATAATGATAAACAAAATCATACCATAATAGCATAGAAATAATCGTACCAAAAATTAAAACTACAAGAATATATAAAAGAAAAAAAAATAAAATGAAGAGGGTGATCATTTAGATCTAAATAAAAAATTAAACAAATAAAAAAGAGAGAGAAACGACGAAATTAGGCCGTCGCCTAACGTAAAATTTAAAAAATAAATTAAAAATTTACTTTAGAGAAAAAAATAAAAATAAAAAAATAAAAATAAAAAAGCATAATCAAATTATTAATACCATTAAAATTATGTTAAATTCAAATATATATATTTTTACATAATTTTAAAGTTAGTTAAGAAAATAAAACATCACATCATTATATCTTATATTTAAAAAATAATTATAAATACATTTATTTTTATAAATTTATGTATTATATTAATTAATGATTCTAAGGTGGCGTTTGGTTGGATGAAATCCATTGGAATTGGTGGTAATTGTAATCTAATTCCACCACTTTCCCATGTTTGGAAGTTTTTCAAGGGAATTGGAATTCATGCTGGAATTCAATTCCATCAAATGAGGGAAAGTGAATTTCATCCAAAAATGGATGAAATTTAATTCCCTTGTTGGAGGGAATTGAAATTTGACCATACTACCCTCATCAATCCTTTAGTAACTTATTCATATATTGAATAAAAATATTTTTTTATTATTTCGGGTCGGGTCGGGTGAAACTTTATTTTGGTCGGGTCGGATCGGGTTTTTTTAAGTGTGATATTCGGGTCGGGTTTGGGTTTAGGGTGAAAAAACTGAACCGACCCGAAAATATATATAATTGAGGTCGGGTCGGATTAAGTCACTTTTTTATAAAATAAAAATAATTTTTTATTATTTCAGGTCAGGTCGGATGAAACTTTATTTTGTTTGGGTCGGGTTTTTTAAGTGTGATATTCGGGTCAAGTCGGTCGGGTTTTTTTAAGTGTGATATTCGGGTCGGGTTCGGGTTTAGGGTGAAAAAAACCGGACCGACTCGAAAATATATATAATTCGGGTCGGGTCGGATTAAGTCACTGTTCCTATTAAATAAAAATATTTTTTATTATTTCGGGTTGGGTCGGATGAAACTTTATTTTGTTTGGGTCGGGTCGGGTTTTTTAAGTGTGATATTCGGGTCGAGTTTTTTTAAGTGTGATATTCGGGTCAGGTCGGGTTCGGGTTTAGGGTGAAAAAAACCGGACCAACCCAAAAAAAATATATAATTTTACCTTATATATTTATGAATAATTACAATAATATCCCTCTATATATAATTTTTTTCAATTAAGTCAATGTTTTTATTGAATAAAAATAATTTTATTATTATTTTGAGTCGAGTCGTGTCGGTCAAGTTTCTAATTCATATATTGAATAAAAATAGTTCTTGGTATATTTTTTGGTAACTAATTAACATACTCCGATTGGAATGTATCGAAATATTGATTTATCTTTTGGTAACTTATTAACATATTTTGATTGCGATGATTTTAACTTATAATGTTTATTAGCATGATTTTTATAATTTATTGAAATAAATAATCGATCGATAAAATGAAAATTTAATTTTTTTTTTATTTTTTATAATATATTACTACATGTAAGTTGTAAAATAAACTAAAATAAAGCAAAAAAACAAGAAGGGCAATTCTGTCATTTTATATTACTGAAATCAAATTCATCTGACATGTCTGCGAACCAAACAGAATATGGAATTGGATTCCAATTCCATTTCCTGCCAACCAAACAGAATATAGAATTGGATTCTAATTCCTACAGATTCCAATTCCTTCACAAATTCCAATTCCCTCGTAAACATTCCAGCGAACCAAACGTCACCTAAATGAACTACTTTAGTGTTAACAAGGGTACTTAAGTAGGGATGATGACGATGAAAGATGAAGGACAAACAATTAGGAAGAAAAATAAGTATTCAATTGATAAAAGATTTAAATACGAGGAGTTAAATTTATGAAATTATTTTAAATTATGACTAAATTAATAAAATGTATAAATTTTTGAAGACAAATTATTATTACTATACCAAGTCATTTAACTACTTTTTCTAACATTTAATAACTTATTGATATATTTGTGCTAATATTTTAATTAAATGACTAAATTATAATCTTTTAAAAATGTGACTAGTTAATAACTAGACTAATAGAGCTACCTAAAATGTAGTTTATCCTTAATTTCATTAAATATTATTTGTTTATAATCTCCTTCCTGTCTTTTAATTACATTTCCATTCATTTAAGAAGGAAATTGACCCATTAATTCTCTGACGTAATCGTGAAGTTTGTTTAAGGGTGGCTAAACCATTCTAATTGAGGAGGGTAGTTCTACTGTACGATAAAATTAATATACGGTTAAGAAAATATCTTACTGAAAATGTTAATATTTTTTAATATTTTCAGTAAAACGTTACCTAAAACATTATTTTTTACTATAAATATTAATTTTCCTACCTAATTTCCATTAGAAAAAAATAACATTTTAGGTAGCGTCTAATATTAACATTTTCGATAAAAAAATAATATTTTAAATTACACTTTACCAGAAATATTAAAAATATTAATATTTTTGATAACATTTTTTTAACATTATATTAAGTTCGTCATACCTTAGACATCTCCCATTGAGAAAGGAACAAGTTCCTAAGACCGTTCAACCTCGATTGCTTGCATAACTTACTTGTTTTTCAAAGTAGAGACAATCATCGTAGACCCTCTTTCGATGCATTTGTCATATAACTCATGCCCTGTCATAAAGCATATTCAACAAGAGGTGATTGGACTTTGGGGGCATGTCACAATCAGGTGATTCTGCTGTGCGGCGCCTAAAAAACGGTTAAAAAATGGCGTGACATGTTAAACAAATAACCGGTTAAAATTTAGATCAGTTATGTTATATCATTTAACCAGAAATATTATCAAGTACAATAATATATTAGGTAGCGCTTATATTTATGTCGATACTTTTTGTACACCTGTTTTCTCAAAAACCGATATATTTAGACCGTTTACATGAATAATTTACCTATTACATTATAATTATGATTTTCGATGTTTTTGGGATCGACACTTGTTGCAAATGTATCGACACTTTTTAGGGCACTTGTTTTTGAAATACATTCTGGACAAAAAGTATCGACACTTGTTCTATTTGTGTCGATACTTTTTGTACACCTGTTTCCTCAAAAACCGGTATATTTAGACCGTTTACATGAATAATTTACCTATTACATTATAATTATGGTTTTCGATGTTTTTGGGATCGACACTTGTTACAAATGTATCAACACTTTTTAGGGCACTTGTTTTTGAAATACATTCTGGAAAAAAAGTATCGACACTTGTTCTATTTGTGTCGATACTTTTTGTACACATGTTTTCTCAAAAACCAGTATATTTAGACCGTTTACATGAATAATTCACCTATTACATTATAATTATGGTTTTCGATGTTTTTGGGATCGACACTTGTTACAAATGTATCGACACTTTTTAGGGCATTTGTTTTCTCAAAAACCCGTATATTTGAAAAAGGTAAGTGTTACCTTAGAAATACATTATGGACAAATTCATTATGATGCACATTATCACTAATGTTGATATTTGAAAAAGGTAAGTTGTTACCTTAGAAATGGAATTTGATGTTTTCTCCCGATGCATCCATTGAGTAAATTGTTTTTAGGATGGATGGAATTTCGGTTTAGGACCGTTTACATGAATAATTTACCTATTACATTATAATTATGTTTTTCGATGTTTTCGGGATCGACACTTGTTTAATTTGTGTCGATACATTTTGTACACCTGTTTTCTCAAAAACCCATATATTTGAAAAAGGTAAGTGTTACCTTAGAAATACATTATGGACAAATTCATTATGCACATTATCACTAATGTTGATATTTGAAAAAGGTAAGTTGTTACCTTAGAAATGGAATTTGATGTTTTCTGCCGATGCATCCATTGAGTAAGTTGTTTTTAGGATGGATGGAATTTCGATTTAAGACTAAAATTTACATTTAAATTCAAACTCTAATTATAAATGAAATGAAAATGAAATGCCATGTTAAATTGAACATGGAAATTGCAT